TGGTCTTCGCAACCATCTGATATTAAATTGTTTTAGATCACGGCCATCCAAAAGGATCTGACCGGCGACGGGATCGTAGAATCTTTCGATCAGAGAGATTATCGCGCTCTTTCCGGAACCTGAAACGCCAACAACAGCTACAGTTTGTCCCCCGTCAACTTTGAGACTGAAGTTATTCAACAGAGTTAACTCTGGACGAGTTGGGTAGCAAAAATCGACATTTTTAAACTCGATGCTGCCGTATACGGAAGGCGGTTTGACACCGGTGTTATCATCTGGATCGATAACGGGAACACGGTCGATGATTTCAAATACAGAAGTGAGGGACTTCCTCCGCTTGAGAATGTAAGGAGCCAGACCAAAGGGCTCAACTAAAGCGAAGGTGGCAAAGGAGAAAACCATGTATTCTTTGAGTGCAGTGACTAGTTTTAGCCGGCCGTCATGTACCGACAAAGCGATGTACCAGAGTAGTAGAGCGTTGCAGGCAAAAAGAAGAAACTGGGAAAAACCGAAGGCGAAGCCAATACCTATGCCATGAAGAAAGCTCTTGCTCAATATCCTGCTGAGCTGCAATCTGTATAGTTCCATGACCTTGTTACCAGCACAGAATGCCACAACAGTGTAGATGTTCCTGACAGCATCTTCCAGGACCAAAGAGGCTTTCCTGTGCATCTCCTGAATGCCCTTTGAAAATCCAGCAAGCCACAATTTCTGCAACCAATGATCTATAATTAATCCTATTTTCAAATATAAGATTACCAACATCAGGCGACGTTTGGGTCATGCAACGGAGGGCACGAGATTGGGATTGTGTGCATGACCAAGCAAGAATCACATGCAGCTTCAAGAAAACGAAAATAGATCAAGCAAATCAGGATGCAGGAGCAGATATCCACAAATGCAGGAACTGGACTTTGATAACAGAAATGATATAAAGTTGCAGCAAAATAAAAGGAGATAAAACGCAAGGGGTCCAAAAAAAGAGAGAGAATATGAAATTAACGAAAATTTATAAGAAGATTTCCATTCTGACCACTCAATTCTTATGTATTTACATATCTAACACATAAAGTTCAATCTTTTACATGTATGCCTCTCACCTATGCATGAAAAGGCGTATTTCACTTTTTAAAAGTTAAAATAGTGGTATTTTTTATGTGATATAAAATATTTGGAGGGTATAAATGCACAAAAGTAAAGTACAGGAGATAGATATGCAAATGCATAAGAATTGGGTGGCATGTATGTAAATCAACAATCAACTCATCCAAAATACAAGCCAAGAATTCCCATTTAAAATAAATAGAAATAGAGTTAAACAGATAAACCTATATATTTTTAAATAAAAATATTTATAAATGATTCAAAACTCAAACCTAATATTATCAAAGAATAATTCATGCTAAATTCAATAAAGAAAATCCAAAAACTAACCTAAAACCAAATTTCCTGTACTCCAAAGATAATAATATGTAAAAAACAGTTTATCAAGCATTTACGAGTGAAAAGAATTCCGCCTAACCAGGTTGATACTA